TGATCAAAGAATCACCGGTGCCAGAAAATGGATTGTAAAGCCTCTTCATTCAAGCTTGATGTTTACCATTCTTTCTCACCCAAATGCAACCCCCCCCGCACTTTGGAACCGCCCAACAAAGACCGGGGAACATATAAACATGCATTGATTTCGACATTGGAACAGCCCCCCCCCAAAAAAGAACACCCAAACACTCCATGGGACTGCCATATATGCCCACATTGACCCCCTGGCACCACCCCTGGCCGTTTCTCGGCATCCATGGCAGTCTCATGGATTGCATGGGACAGGATCAACGTGCCAAACACGTCAACCACCGCGAACACGTTCGACCCTTACATCGCCGCCCGCGACGCCGAACAAAGGGGTTTCCGGAACGTCGGCCAAGGCGCCAGGTTCCGAGGAGCCGTGGCCCTCGCCGGAGCTCGCGCAGGCCCAAGCGCTGCTGCGCCTGGTGCCACTTGCTACAGAGCCTCAGGAACATGAAAAATTGTCCCCGAGTTTCGGTATTGGAGTGTACACTCGAACAGGAAAGCGTCAATGAAAATCAAACCTCTGAAATGCAACCCCTCCATTTGCCACAGCTGCAAATATTGATTAACACTCATCATAGATCAAGTCTTATAAATATATACATATAGGATTACATAGGTGTGTGTGCGTGTGAGAGAACGTTATCGTCTTGTGGAAGTACTGTCAAAAACCTGTTATGTGGGCTGTTGTCCAACCGGTGCTGTTGTCCATGCGCTCCCACTATCAAGTTCGGGAGACCTCTCAGTTCAACCCCCTGGAAGAAAGATAAAGAAAGGAACCAAATGACTCAAAAGGCATCGGATGGGCTACTTTTTGCACACCCACTTCCTTCCAAGATACTCGACCTCCCCGCTGCCGGAGCCCGCCAGCGCCAGCCGCACGAGCTTTCGTCCAGAGGAGTTCCGGTGTAGGCTGATGTTCATCCTCGGTGGAGTTGCGTAGGCGTGTACCCACGTGATTCATGTGATGAGCGAGCTGGGTGTTTTGCATTGCCCTAGGGATCCAGTCATGCCGAACCTCAGAAGCTACGACTGGACCCTCCAAACCTAGATACAGTGTCTCCAATGACCTTCTGAGAAGGTACGACTGGATCCCTAGGGTTGCTTTGCTCCAAACTCAAAAGTCAAGTGCTAAGACTTGCGGTGGAGCAACTCCGAATCTTAGCCGCAGCTGGAACACCAAAGTAGTATTGACTCTGTCTCAACTGTCTAATGAGGTTTGATGCTCAGCACGAACCGATTGTCCAAGATCTGGGCGCACCGGCCAAGCAAACGAGCAACGCATCTCTAAACAAAAACATTCCTGACGATTCTTTCCCTGCCGTGCAAGCGATCTCAAATTCTATGATATGCCTGTTTGCAACCATGCATTGCACCCCCCAAACCACAACAACAGCCACCACCCCGACATGAACATGAGCATGAACATGAAACAACACGCGCAAAAATGAAAGAACGGCCACATGCAAACAGCTGCTTCACCGCTACCTTCTTTGGATCAAATATGATCATATGCCCCTGCAACTCCCTGAAGGGCCAAGAAGACCCACCGTGGTTTTGCCCTTCACATGCGCATTCCTGTTGCTTCGCAATTTCGCGATCCAGCCAAACATGGCCCCTCTTCTCCAATAAAACCGGAAGAACCATGAAGAATCCCGGCCGGTCGGCAAACCGGCCGATGAACCGGGAGTTTGGGGAACGACATTCTCCGATGATCCGTCGAAACCGACTTCGAGTGCATTCCTCTTGGTGCTCTTGCAGCTCAGTGGTCGCGTGAGACCGGCAACAAAGACTGGAGCACGCACCCTTGGGGGTGTTTCCAAATCAAACGCCAAGTGTCAGGGCGATAGAGGGCGGTAGCCCTTCCTGCACCTGTTGACTAAGCTCCTTCATGGCAAAGGGCAGCTGCTCTGCACCAGAAACAATCAGCTCGACATCCTGGGCTTGGCTGAGGATTTGGGCTTTCTGTGCTGCGGAACTAGCCGTGTGTTTCGGTGTGTGTGTGGTTGAAGTGTGTTGCTTCGAAGAACGCTTCGGCACTGGCATAGGGAAGATCGCCCTCGCAGGTCCGATTTGCACCGACGAGTTGAGATCGCCGATCCGTCGTTCTGGAGATCGAAAACGGTGTTCAGGAGCGCCGTGGTCGAAGAAATCACCCCAACAGCGGCGGTCCAAGATCTGCCTCTGGCACACAGGTGTCGATCTGAAGCCAGTTGACGAGTTGAGAAAGGCCTAAGTTCCTTGGCTTCTTGAGAAGGTCTCCTTCCAACAAAGACCTTCTCTTGGAGTTCCCGTGGCTGCTCTGAATGTCCCCCCACTTCCAGTGGTTTCAGCGGTTCGATGGTGCACGTTGCCTTAAGTTCGGTTTAGAAGGACATCTTTGGGTGCCAGTGCCATCGAACCTCTGAAACCACTTCAATTCCTCTTCCAAACATAGGGCATCCACAAAGATACCATGTTATTCTTATAGATTCTTATATATAGCGGTCCCCAAGTAGATAGAAACCTGTAGAAACGGTGTCCAATCCATTTTTAGTGGGGATTTACTTTTCTGTCTGTTTGGGGGTCTATATATATATGATATATCTACCTGAAACCACTCAGCCCATCAAACCATTCCTTCGTCCGAAGCGTCAACGATGCTGGCGGCCAAGATGAAGATCCGGCCGTCGAGGCATTTGGCCTCGACGGAATGCAGATCCGATTGGTCAAACATTGGTTTTGGTGAGGGATGGTATTGGAAACGATTGCAAGGGCCAAGCAATGGATGTTGGTATTGTATGTACTGTAATTGGCACCTTTGCTTGATACAACTTATTCAAACATATTCAAATTAGCTCGCGCTTGGAACAAGTTCCCGAGTATCGTTACGTTTGAGGGATCTGGAAATCAACACGGAATCCAGTTTTGGGGCGGCCGGTGGGGCAGTCGAGTTTGGAGCCGCACCCACGTCGCCCAGACTCGACCATGGAATTTCTACGTGAAGGCATGGTGCGTGATACACCTGGCTTCAAACCCTGTTGGGTGGAACTCGCAATGGCTCATGATGGTACATAATGGCCCGACTCCAGCAAATCATAGTCAGTCAAACACAGTGAAACCATGTTTTCGCACTGTTGCAAGGAATCTGTCAACCACAGAACCAAAACGCCAGTTGCGCAAGTCTCTAGGCAGGAAAGCACGCAATCACATTGGGATACTTCTTACAAGTAAGAACTGGTATCCACTCACACCTCACTTCTGTTCAATTCATTTCCCAACTCCAGGCCCACCCAACCCTTCATTGCGCTCGCGGCTAGATGGATTTTTTTTATCCAGCTGATACACCCACTGGCCCATCAGCTGGATTGTACAATGACGGTACACACGCGAACATGGATCCCCCGCCTCCCTAATTGCAGGAATGTCAACTCAGTCTGATCCATTTCTTGGGTTTGAAGTCTGCTTTCATTGATGGCCTTGGGCAGAGTTTGGGGGACCTGTTTGGAACCAAGCCTCACACACGAGTTCAGGTGGAAAAAAGGCCACCAGGTGGGCATCCCAACTCCTCCCCAACTCCGGGCGCGGGGGGTTTCGCGTTGCGCCCAGGAGCCCAACGACCATTCCAGCGTACCACCGGCTGCGGAGGCCGCTTCTCGGTGAAGCTGCCGCTGGCCATGGCATCGTCCACCGCGGCGGAGCCGACCGGTCGTCCGAACCGGTGAAGGAAGCCTCGATGACCCTCCGGTCCGGGTCTCGTCATTTGAGGACCGATCTGTTTTATTGAGATATATGCTATATTATACGGTACATGTGGTTGTTATCCAGCATGTAGATGCATATAGTACATATTGGGAGTTTGCTACACATATGACTTCAAATTGTAATATACACTATATTAGTACTATGACTATATCCATACTATATGTATATATGTGTTGGTCTAGAAAGCCAGCCTGCTGGTGTCACTCTGCCAACCTTTAGGGCAACAAAAACTGGTCTCCACGTGGCAGCTGCTCGCGTAGCGCCCTATGATGAGCGGGCTTTCTAGAGTTTTCATGGGGAAGTGTTACTTTGACCAAGGCCATGTTCCGTGTGCTTCAAGCGACTGATGGAAGCAGGGCATGTGATGGAACAAAACGAGCTGAACTCAACAAGCATCGTGTGTCCTCCCTGTGTTTGGCTTTGCCTATCATCTCCAACAATCCCCTCTGACCATCGCATCATATCGCATCTAATCTTTTGGCACTCCGACGGGAGTCCTGTGATTGGAACAGGCAGCGGGGGAGAGAGATTCGCCGGTGATCCAACCCCTGCGTCCACTCTCGTCGATGCTCTTCAAACGAGGCTACGCTTGAGGTTACTCATAAGGCTATAGGGCCTATACGACTATAAGAGGACGGTCCCTTTTGTTATCGAACTCTTTTGGAGACTACATCCCCAAATGCCTGGAGTCAACGGCGGACCGAGGTCCAAATGCATGCTCGAGGGACCATGGGGGGACCTATTCTTCTCGTTCTTTCCCGGAAGCGACGGTGACTGAACCGAAACCAGCTTCAGCTACCGGCACCTGGTGGGTTGAGGAAATTCCAGCTAAAACGGTCATTGATCACTGTGATCTTGAAGCCAAAAGCTATCAGGTTTGCAGACCAATATTCAAAGTAATTGGCCTTTTTGGCTTCCCCAAACCCACCCCATGAGTTGGCCTCGAACATTTTGGTACCGGGCATTCACGCGTGTTCCAGTTGACACCAAGGGCGCAAATAGTTGACACCAAACCACGGCTAGCGCAGTGTTTTCCAACTTGGAATCTTCTTCCAGCATCCCATAGCATCCCCCCCGCCAATGAATGAAGTAGGATCGTCTCTCAGGGGGATCTGCAAAAAGCCCTTTTAGAAGTTGGGAGCTGAAGATGCTGAACACCTTCATTCACCACACAGCTCGGAGCCTCCGCGGCAAGACCGAGGACACCCGGTGCGAACGCGGGGCTGAGAATGCGCCAGGGACTCCAAATGGCTCAAAGCTAAGATCCTCGGACTGATGGGAGGCTGAACACATGTAACAAATAGAACGTCGCCAAGACCCTTGTGACGGGGTTACACCAAGAATGTTGGCGCTTTGAGTCGGCTCAATGCCAGCTCGCAACCACTAGAGTGTGAAGGAAAAAGGACACCCCGTAAAGAAGAGTTGCATGTGTTTTGTCTCGCTCTCTGAGCAATTCCTCGGTTCCCCAACTCTGTCACATAGAAGTCGCAGGTTACCGGCTGTGGTGCAAGTCACACAACAAGATGGGAACCCACATTCATCAACCAATTCCTCACCTCCAGTGGCCCTCGGCCTAGTCTAGCCTTGTCTAAAGCCACAAGCAGCTTTAATGGTGGGATATGGCAGAATTACTGGTGGGGTTTTCAACATGTTTAAATCGGACCGGCTGCCAACCTACGGCTGCGAAGCTCGAAAGACTCCACCCAGCCCCCAAAAACAGTTCCTAGACTCAATGTATGGTATGCCTATATATATATACCACCCAATGTAGACGGAAGACCGCCCATAACGGGTCATGTCACCGATGCGTCGTGTTAAATACATGGACCCTGGAGGCGTGGAGCCGGCTGGGATACTCATGTCCAGCGACATGCAGGAGATGTTCTGAATCACGGTGTTGTTCCTCGGACAAAGGTATTTCCATATGGTCCTTCAATGTCATTCCATGTTTCCAACTTCCTCGCAACATGTTTCTTCTGTGTGTTCTAGTGTTGTCAAAGGGTCAAGTGTCCCGTCAGTGTGAAGGTCAAAGGTCACGGAAAGTTTGACCCAGAATTGAAAGACATAGAGGTGAGTTCTACTCAGCTTTGAAAACATTGCTGAAAGCACATGGAGCCTGAAAGCAGAAGCTTGAACAGGGGCGACCATGTGGTAGTAGACCCCAACGAAACACCGGATTATATACATAACCCTGAACATTTGCAAAAACTCCATAGTTGGGGGCAACTTGATTTACATGTTGAAGTGCCAATTCCACTGGGAAGTGCATAGGAACAGTGCTTGTTCCAAAGAAACGACTCTTCCCCAAGAGTCGTTAAGAAACCAAAACCACTGCAGATCGTCGCTGTCACGGCTCGGTCGACTCACGTCCCAGGTGCGGATTGTGCAGCTGGTGAGACGCCAAATCCGCCTGCAAGCACCCATCGGCCAAGCTCAAGGTGATCCGCTCGGCGACCGCGTCCCGCACTGCCACGTAAAAGCCTGAGGTGGTTGAGTTGGGCCGCAGGACGATGTTGGAGAACCATTGTGTAGGCTAAGGGTGAAGGATGCCATTGGATGTCCTTGATTGTAGTTGTGGGCGCTAGCTCTTTTTAACAAGTGATGGTTCAAAAGCATGTTCATCCAAAAGTGCCTCTTCACTCACATCTCCCATGTCTCCAGTGTCCCACATTCTCCGCCTTTGGAGCACTGCGCCAGGCGTGCGCAGCAGTTGCTGCTCAATGCCTCCAGCCCGAAGCACCAAACCTCCGCCATCTGGCCCCTTCGCTCGGCGGCGGTCGCTCCGGGCGCGGAGGGCGCGGACTCGGCTGCTGCGCGCTTGCGGCCCATGGCATTGATGCTGAGGGAAGGATGGTGCAAGGGGAGTGATGGCATTGAGCTAGAAGCACACGTAGGTGCTGGATGAGATGGACATGTAGCTTTTGGGTCACATATGGTCGCACACATACTTTCGTTGAAATTGACCTGGTCACGCTTCCAGTCATGGTGTCACTACAATGTGTTTACCTGGTCGGGCCTACTGTGAGTCCAAAAGTTCAGCCATAAAGTTCAGCCATGGATGGAAGCAAGTGAAAACCGCATGTGCTCCGCATGTGTTGCCACACACAAGGCATGCCAAGAACCGTTTACATCGATCCCACGAACCGGGACAAACATCACACCTCTTCTGATCGGGTGTGGGGGATTTCGCCAGTTCCGGGCCAACAAACATCAACTGATCAGCGACCGCTGTTCACCGGGTGAAGCAACTTGTGAAGGCCCATGTACGTCCTTTTGGTCAGCCATTCTTGCAAACTACTTGGGGCCCCACGAACCATCCAAAAAACGGCGTTTTCCCCTTGGCCAACACACACACACACAAAAAAAACACACACACACACACAATCTGCTTTTAATGCTATGCGAAGAAACAACTGAGGGCGGCTGGTACTTCGAGGGTTCCCAGGGTGGTGCCATGCACTTCCTCCGTCTCAAATCTTCCGTCCTCTCAGCTTTTGGGGCACTGACGCAAGGATGAGCTGGCTTCTGAATGAGAATGAAAAAACAAACACACCCAATGAGAATGGGCCGACACTCCGTGGTCACTTCTACGAATGGGCGTGAGTCAAGCCGGCTCTTCCGGGGCCACTCGTCTCGTCCGAACCCAAGTTCCACGGCCAAGATGGGATGCTCACCACGGCTGGTCGGCACCTCAGGACAAGAAGCGCACAACGTCACACCATGGAGTGAGTGACATCCTGACGAAAGAACTTCTAATGACATCAAACCATGGTGAAACAAACAAAACTCATGAAATACTCTTCCAAATCAACCAACAAACACACATTTCTTCATAATAAGTACTGTTCCAATTAAACCTAATTATATACATCATGAGAATGAATATTGAATATGGGTTTGCTGCTAAGCGGCCCTTGGGACAGTCTGGACTGCATCTTCGGTTTACGATCCACCCTAGAGCGTCCTCACGTACAAACGACCATGGACCCCTTGATGGACAAACGACCATGCCCTATTGAGGCCAGATGGCTTGAAACGCCCCAAACATCCCGCCCACTCTCTCACTCGAAAATGAAGCGGCCTAAAGCGCTCTCACTCTGTCACAGTCGAGAGTGACCTGGTCATCTCAGACTCCACCTGACCTAGCGCTACAGGTCTGGACAGGTCTGGATGTCAAAATGGAGACCTACAGGTCGAAAAGATCGCCCACGCCACGTCAATCCACGCACGCGGTCCGACTCCGTCCGTCCGACGCCTCCGTCCGACGCGTCCTGAGACTCCGCGCGGCAGAGGCGATGGTGGGATAGAGCGCGGACCTGGGCGGAGAGGAGCAGACACCCACGGCGACGAGGTCGATGAAGTGAGGCGATGCTGGGAGAGTGAGGCGATGCTGAATGCCCGGATCTCAACCATTCTTCCCGTATTTGGACTTGCACTAAGGGTCAAAATAGATACTAAAGTGCTAGCAAGGCACCTGTTCATGGTGCAAAGTATACATAGTATATAGAGTACACATCTAAACACATGGTGTTCAGGAAGCGACCAGTAGCATTCTTTCAGAGGGCCTTAAGTGTGCCTTGCTCATCAAAAATCCATTGTTCACAGTTGGTGTTGTGGTAGAGGACAAAACACGTGCACATGCATCAACTCTAGCTAGCCTAGCTGTTGATGCCACTCTCTGACCTGCACAAGTTAAGACTACACATGACTTCACATGCCCTCTGAACTGCCCCCTGAACCTCCGGTTTGGGTGGTGCGATGTGGTGCGTATTGCTGTAAATATGTCTTGTAAGATCATGTGTTGCTTTCTCTCAGTTGCAGCTGGATATCACGAACCTGCCGACTCTCCGCGCCATGCCCGGCACGTGAACCGTCTCTGAGCTCTGAACGGAACGGTCCGGACCTCCGTGCCACTGGCAACCTCGCCGTGGCGAGATGATCGCAGCTGGTCATCGAGACCACAAATCCAACTGACGATCATTGCCCACCTACTGTCCGACATGCCATGCGGTGAATATATATATATATTTATTTATTTTTTTTGGTGCCAAGATGCATGACATCTTCTATCTCAACGCCCGCCACGAAAACACGTCTGGTGCGCAGCGCTCTCAGTGCGCGGCCACTCGCTCTGGTTGCTCACGGCTGAAGAATCCGCCTGCCTGGGACCATGGTGAATCCTGAAAATCATACACTCGCGCAAGATACGCCCTGCAAAATGAACATGAAATAAAACCTGAAAACACACCCGGTTTGTAGAGGAAAAAGGTCATCCAGGGTTTTTCAGATTCCATGTTAATCTGAAGTTAATCTTCCGGGTGCACCGAGTATGCGAATATTCTGACTATCCTAACAATATCCAACCTATCTGCAGGTCATGGCAAGTCCTTATTCATGGTAGCGATAAATGATGACCCTTCACCCAACTCACTCCCTAGTTGTTGATATATAGTTGTGAGGTCATATACTTGGATTTGCTGTCCAGGAGCCATGGAAAATGTAAATATTCACCAGGTTCAGTGAACATATGGGAAAATACACAAACACCTGACCCACAATTCACCAGGTGATATAGTAGTTTTAATAGTGACACATTGCATTGCCGCTTGGCCGCTTGGTTGCTGCAGTTGTTGAACATAGCATGCAGTCCACCTATAGTAGTTCCAAGTCTTCCACAAACAACCCCTCAGCGCCTTTTCTTGGACCCCCTTTGCCTCACAGAATCCATGGTTTTTCGATCCGTGATCCGAATGCTTGCCGCCTGATCCGGATAGACACGTGTCCAATGACGACACCCCCCAACCTGCACGTGTCCAATGGGGATGCAGGGTTGGCCAAACTGGAACCAATGCCAAGCTTGAACAAGAACCCCGAGCCCTGTACTCTCCCTGGAACTAACATGGAAGTGGACTTCACCCCCTGTTTGGTATTCGGATTTCATGGTCTTCCGAACTTGGGGCCATGCCATCCACGTAACCATGTTAGTTCCAGGGAGTGTATCCATATGGCCCATGACACCCAACCACCTGGCCTTGTCAGCCATATGGAGTGCCTATAAGCCAGCGATGGCCTGGCGAAGCGCGACGACAATGGCGCCCGGGTGGGCCTGTGGGCCTTTCAACCGGGACATGGATTTTGTCCCACCAAGAATTCATCGCATACCTTGGAGGTCAACCTACCCTGGTTTCGGGCTGGCATGCTACCCTACCTTTTGGCTGGTCATGGCAACCCGGGCCCTGAACTCGGTGGAACATGTCCTGATTCCAGTCGATTCACTTCATCTTCGGTCAGCCAAGGTCCCCCGGGTTTGATCCATTGCCGGATTTGCTCGATGAAGATGCTTCGAACTTCGGTGTTCGATGCTTCTCAGGTGACATGACCGTCTTTGGGCGACGATTTTGGGCCATCTCCTTCGATCATTTCTTCAGGAGTCTTGAGAGGATTGAGCTGGTCCTCCAAGAGGAGCCCTCGTTTCAGTGAATTTTTGGCATGGCAGCAGGGGAAAGACACGCGATGCAGTTTCAATCGATGAACATGAACATAGAGCGGGACGGTTTTTCTTCTGTTATCTCAGTCTCTCTCTTCGGAGGACCCCGTTGGGCAGAATGCAGTTTCTATTCCAATGCGGTTTGCTGGGCAAAGTGAAATAATGGACCAAACATTCCCCGCAGGGCACACAAGAACCCTCAGACCAACATCTTGAGTCACATCATTCTTTGGCGGCTGGCATGCGTATTGACCTGGTGAACATAGCGGAGATCGGGCCCCCTTCAGATTGTAGAGTTCCGATCTCATGTGCTTGTTTTTCTCCGTGATGCTTTGTTCGCTGCGGATCTCCGGCCGGATCTCCGGCCGACCGACGCCCCGCGCAGCTGAGTGTTTCCGGCCAGTTTCAGCTCGGATGGTTCAGCGACGGCTCAACGGGGGGTTTTCACCAACAAGCAGAGGCCAAGCGAGCTCCACATGGAGCATTGCAGTAGCAACAACAATGCGTCGGGCATGCGAGAAAGGTCGGCTGTCATGGAATCAAACACTCAGCCCTTCCCTTCCCGAGGATCAAACAGTCACGCTGCAAGTCTGTGAGGGTTCGGCCTACTTACCCTGGAACCTCATTTGGAAGATGAACGCTTCACTTCTGGAATTGTCCGAGCGCCCCCCCTAGCATCATCACATCATCTGCTAAAGCTACCTTCAACAAACACCTGCACAAACTGAGACAGTGTGGCGTGCATGGGGCGTCCATGTGGCTGACATCCAAAGTATGCCAATCCCTAGCCTAAGAGTCCAGTCATGAGAGTGGTGGATATGACTTCCAGGTGGGGTGAAATGAGTCAAAACGTAAATTCTGGAGATGCTTTGCTTTTTTCTCATATGTATTTCTCCATGCCTGGAGCCACCTGACCGCACTCGAGTAGTGCCTTTCATTTATGAAGCCGAAAGCCCGGCACAGCCAGCTGAAGCCCGCGCCGCGAAGTCTGAGAATGACCTGTGAGGTTCTTTGGTCAGTCACAATTAGGTCCCTTGCATTGGTGCATTGTCGAAATGCCCAAAAGCCACTAATCCTGCCAAATGAAATCACTTGACAAATGTTGCCTAAACTCTGAAATATGGTCAAGTCTAGAAGTGGTTTCTCCTGTGATAGGATCTGCAAGTGATGCGATTGGCTTGTCAGATCTTGCTAGCGTAGGGATGAAATGGTATCTGGCAACGCTCCATCCTTCACAGTCGCCGCATCAAACAAATACACATACCAAAACAAAATGTTGCTTGCCCCGGACCTGCCCAAGGAACCTGAGATATTCCCCAGAAAGAGATTTACCCACAAGGAGAACAAATAAATCACCTTAAGGAAAACCAGGTACCAATGGTTGGCTTTGCACGGTCATTGCAACCTGTAGAGTCTGCCGGAGGATGCGTTTTCACCGGCGACTGGAACACCGAGCCGCAGCCGACGGCCGCTGCAAGGCAGCTCGAAACGGCTGCATTGCGGCTTGCTGATCAACAACTTGGACTTGCAGCTCCCAGACACCTGGAAAAACACATAGGACCTAGGAGGCAGCCATCTGGTAAGTGGAACCAATCTACTGGTAAGTGGAAAAATAGGTTCAATTGGTTTGTCGGTTTCGGGATTTAACCATGTCGGGAAATTTCAAAAACCTGATAAATACTGATAAGCAAAACCAGGACAACAAGTCAATCAATAGACGTCGTAGGGTTCAAGGGGCGTTTGCTGGGGGCCTCGTCAATGAGGTCAGAATGAACACATCCGCCGACTTGATGACCCAAAGCCACAAAAAAAAACATCTTCAGACTGCTCTGCACAAATTCACTGTTCTGCCGATGAAAAAATCGTCGTTTCTCCTTTTAAACCTCAAAATGACCGCCAACCCTGCTGGGACGTGCACCAGTCCCAACGAATACTGGAAAGAGGTACCCAGCAAACGTACACAGGATCTGCAAGCACCGCTGGCTGGTCCGAGAAATGTCCGACGCTGGTGTTGGCAGCCAGTCACATCGGTCACATGTCCCGGAGATTTCCGAGACATGTCATGAATGCCCTGCCCGTAGTGAGTTCAGGACGAATAGAGTTGTTGCAAGTTCTGCTTCAAATCTTGCAAGCTTGGTGCAGCTTGGGGAGCCTGGTTGGAGTTGTAACCACCTTGGCATGCGCTTTGGAATTGGCCGAAGCCACCAGAGCTGCCCTGGCACGCTCCGCAGCCATTACAGCCAGCGCCGCATCCACAGCCCTGGCAGGCACCACAGCCGCTACATCCACAACAGTTGAAGCCGCAAGGGTTACAGCCGCAACCGTTGCAGCCACTAGCAAGGCCGCATGCACCGCAGCCCTGGCATCCGCCACAGCCCTGGCATCCCCCACAGCCCTGGCATCCGCCACAGCCCTGGCATCCGCCACAGCCCTGGCA